CTGAGCTAGTACAGGTGTGGACAGCGCTTCTCACATGCAAGCCGTGGGATGGGAGAAGAAGGGCTCCCTTCAAGGAGGGTCTAAAAAGGTCTGAAAACCAAGAGGCCTGGGCTCTAGCTCCTGCCTCCAATGAATAAAATGATAATCTTCCCTGTTCTTCCCTGACCAGAATCATTACACTATTCTTTCTATCAGCAGGCCTCAGGATGTTGAGGCTGCCTTAGGATCATCTCAAATCTTTTTACAAATTCTAAATCTAGGCTGACTCTCAGACTAACTACATCAGAATCTCATGACCTGAGAATCAGATATTAGCTTTTTTTTTTTTTTTTTTTCAGAGCTGAGGGTTGAATTCAGGCCCTTGCACTTGCCAGGGAAGTGCTTATTCTACTGAACCATTTCCCCGGGGTCCCAATATTAGCATTTTTAAAAGAAATATAGAAATCTCTGTGGAGAAAAATAAATTAGACAATAGGAGCTTAATTTCGTAGAGATAAGTATGGAACTATTCACAGAAGCTGGGAATATCTTTTAAATATTCCAATAAAAGCAAACAAAGCAAAATTCATAAAAACAAAAAAGTGGTAGGGATAGAAAACTATAAATTGCTGATAAAGCTAAGTAATAGGAATATGAATAATCATACTAGTCTCTCTACTTTTTGTCTTCAAAATGTTTCATAGAAGGGCCAGCCAGATGGCTCAGTGGACTAAAGCACCTGCTTAGGCAGATGCAGGGACGGGGGGTTCAATCCCTGGTGTACCATGCTGGCACTGAGATGGCAACTGAGACTGGGCCTGGAGGCACATGCCTGTAATCCCAGTGCTTGGGAGGCTGAGAGAGGAGGATCACTATGAATCCAATCTGTGTAGTAAGGCCCTGTAGACCCTTTACTAAATACATTTTAAAAAGTACATATAGATACACAGATAGAGTCATAAAAACATGGGCAGATAAATTAACTGAAGATCTTGGCACGCAAGTGGGCTCATGGTGGGGCTCTTCCTTTTGTGACAGCTGCAGCTGAGGGAAGCATCAAAGGATGTCATTGGTTGGGGGTGGGGATCCCTCCTGCTGACCTCCCATCAGGGGCTTTGGAGTTCCCAGCCAGTTGTACCCCATCAGGGAGGAGCTCTGAGTGCTGTAGTCCTGCCATCTTGCCTCACGTAACTAGCCTTTCTATCACCCTCCTTACTAACTGACCCAATCGTGCCATCCCCCAAGGGTACCGTGAGATACCCTTGCCCAGCTGCTTTGCTGTCCCCACAGTTGGACTAAGGCTTCCCTGCACTGACTGCAGGACCTCTGAAGGTCTCTCATGTAGCCCCAACCCTGGCTCTACTAACTCAGGGATCACTAAGTCCCTGGGAAACAGGACCCTCTGCTCTGGCTCTGATTCCCTAACACATTTCCTTACCACCCCCTTTGTGTTTCCTAAATTGGTCCCTACTGGCTCCAGCTGGGAAGCTGGGCACTTCCCAACTATCTTCTCCCTCACATGCTGCCTTCTAAAGTATGTTTGAAATTCACTCCTTCTCTCTGTCCCCATGGCCAATATCAGGATTTCCTTGTGTCTCCTGGACTAGCCTCATAAATGGCCAGATTTTTTCCCCCCTTTGTCCATACTAAAGCCAGATGGCTTATTTTACACACATATACAATTCTGACCCTTCTCTACCTAAAGTTTATCAGTGGTCCTTAGAATCAAGTTCAGACTCTGAGGCATGGCCTGCATAAGACCTGCATGATGGTGCCTATCCCTTGCTCCATACCCCAGCCATGGGGACCTTCTGCTTGTTGCTCTATGTCTATCCTGGGCCAGGGTACTCTTCCTCCCTCCCCTCTCCTGCCTAACTCTGACACACCCTCCAGGGTAAGCATCTCTTCATCCTAGAATCCTTCCCTAATCCCTCCTTCCTCTCTGGTTGGACTGCATTATCAACTGCCTATTTATTTGCCTTTATGTCCTATTACACTGAGAGTCCCACTGAGCAAGGATGGCATTTTCCATGGTCCATTTAAAAATCTCTAGCTCCTGGCTCAAGCTTATAGACTGTGATCACTAAATATTAACTGAATGAATGAATGAGAGTTGTTGATGTCCACACTGACAGCCTGCAGCCGCACACTCTCCTTTACACCTGGCAGCTCCAAAAGGTTGATTCCAGATTGGGGGGGGGGGAGGAGAGACCAGAGTGATGGGAATGCATTCTGGAGCACATAAAGAGGGGGACACCCATAAAGAAGGTATTATACGAGCTCTAAAATGGGAGTGGGTTCAAGGTTAAGAGAGAAAGGTCAAGCTTTCTCCTCCCTCCTTCCAGGGGTGATGAAGTGTCCTTGCCTTCATGTGGAGAAATATTCAGGGCTTTTGAAAATGTGCTGATCTGGCTGGATCCAGCCAACATGACCTACTTATACATCTCTTCCTGCCCTTTCCTTGTCATCGTTGAAATGTTCTCAGCAGATGTGTCTTATAACAACCTCTGGCAAGTTCTTGCTCATGGTGTGCTCTGAGCACAGCCTGGGAGCTTGGATTTAGAATTTGCTTTCAGGACTCTTAGAAGGCATTAAGCTCTATTTCTGAGTGACCCCAAAGGGGTTACATGGGTACAGTTGGATGCATTCCAATCTGGGTCATTCTCTTCCCACCCCTCCCCTGACAGCCAGAAGTGAGCTTGAGAGGCAACTCAATTCTGGGCAAATTGTTCCCCATGAAAGTGTGGCTCCCACCCCATCAGAGCCAACATTTCCTTCAGGCTAGGTCATCATCAGCAAATAACCAGCTGCATTCCTTCATGGGAATGCAGAGTTAACAAAAATCTATCTTATTAACAGCCTGACCTACCAACATTGATTACATTAGAAATGATCACACACACACACACACACACACACACACACACACACACACAGAGTCCTCATTATTTTCATGGTACAAGGCTCAGCAGAGCTCAAAAAGCTATTTAAATCCATGTAGAACTGACTCCTTCAAGTGCCTGAACATCCCCCAAACTAATAACCCCTGACAAAGCACTACCAGGGAAAATTCCTTGCAGATTTGAGATTTTCACTCTCTTAATCTCCTAACTCAATAAAGCAAACACTCCCTGCAACAAATTAAATACTTTTATTAAAGAATCCCCTCCCCCATTCTCTTTGATGTTGCTGTGGTGGGCCTCCCAACCTGACTGTCTCTGTGAGGGCTGTCCTCTCCTCCCCAGCATTTCTGTTCTGTCTCTCCAAGAAGGCTGGGAATCTACTAGGATTTGCTGATTTTTAGATTCTGCAAACTTCTGAGACCTCTGGCCTTCCTGAGATCGGTCCCACAGCCTGTTCACTGAGGAAAATGTTTTCCATTCTTTTGATGAGGTGGCAGGCTCCTAAATAACTCTACTTGTGCAGTTTACCTAGAAGACCCAACTGAGCGGTCCAGGCCAGAGAGGACTTCTCAGTCAATGGCTGAAGCTTTCTGACTTCACAGAGGGTTTACTGGTCATACCTTGAAAAGTTAGAAAGAAACTAGATGGGGTTAGCTGGAGAAAAGATTATAGGAGGGTGGGGAAGAAGCAGAGAAGCCGGAGTTGTAGGGGGAAGGCCCTCAGTTCCACTGATCCCTGCCCCCCACTGGGGCCCTTAGCCACTCCCCCTTTGGGGATCAGCGGCTTAGAAATCCTGCCTTGCAGGGAAACTCACTGCCTTGCTGACATTAACTGCCAGAAGCCTCTATAGTTTAAGAGAAGCCTCTTTCCAAAAACTTTTGATGTATAGTTTATCAGTTTCATAGTTGGGTCTGTTGTGCAGCAGGCTCCATGAATTCACACAGACTGAACAGAAACTGTGTTATGTACAGGGTGACTTCCCATCTGCAGGCTGGGAGGCCTCCTCGGCAAGAGCGCCCTGGCTATGTGTGAGGTGTCTACATTGTAGGTCTAGTCCTGATGGTTACTGCCAAGAGTTCTGGGTACAGAGCCTTTCCAGGGTGGGGAGAAGGAGCCTTCTCTTTCCTGGGCCCCTAGAGAATTTCCCTGACTTTCCTCCTCTCTACTGACCCACCTTAGGCAGAAAAGACTGTGCATAAGCAGAACAGTGACCTCAGACCCCAGCTTCTTGGAGGTGTCAGGCCACGGAAGCTCACGCTGTGCCTTGGGCATCTGAAATGTACTGCCCACTGCTGTCAGCCCTAGAGAGATGTCCTGGGCTCGACACTTGTCCCCATTTATTTCCAACTCTGAGAGCAGAACTGCCTCCAGATCCGTTTGCTCCTCCAAAAGTAAAAATAGTCCGAGAGCTGGAGTGGGGCAGCAGAGTGACTGGGAAAATGAGGAATGCATGACAAAGTGCATAAGCCCTCAGACCGGGAACCAGGTCCAGCTGCATGTTTCCTCCAACCCTCGGCCTTCTCCACCTTGGAATCCTGTCTGTAGAATGGGATAGTAGTTCTTGCCCCCCGAGTACCTTCCCTGCTTCCCCTGCTTTCCTCCATGGCTCCATCTTTGTGGCTCATTCTGCCTGTCCAGTCTCAGACTCAGCCAAGTTATTTTCCTTCAGTGGCCCTTAGAACTTTCCAGTGGATTTTCCCTCCCACTTAGACTTGGTTTGCCTGCGTGCATTCTTCTTCCTCCAAAAAGCCCTCCCCACTTTCCCTGGACTGCTTGGAACCTCTCATCTACAGCATTTAGTACAAATCAGTTGACATTAAGAATATATATGCTTATGTTATTCTTTTCAGGTTCTCATAGGTGACATTTCTACCATTCCATTTGAATTTTTGTTTGTTTAAAAATAAAAAGAAAGTCAAAAATTTATTTTGCTCCTTGGTGACCCACCAGCTCTGGACACCAAGGAAGGCAGGTGGGAAGGTCTTTATGACCAGCAAGCTCCCTGGTAGAACTCAAGATGCGAGGAGCCACTTCTCACCACAAGGACTGGCCCTGGGAACACTATGGTGAAAGCCCCCCCCCCCCCGCCTTTACCTCCCTGCTGGGGCTCCATCTCACCTGGCTGACTCCTTCCATTCCATCTGGTCTCCATCATGCTGCAGAGTGTCCATCTCTGTGAAGAGGGTGGGATTGGGAGCCTCATCTTCCTCCCCCAGGATGTCCTGGAGCTGCTCAGCAGCTGGGGACCCTGCAAAAGAAAGGCAGGAGGTCTACCAAGTGCCTTGCACAAGGCAGGAGACCACGAGGCCAACTGCAATGGAGCAGGTGCCAAGGGAAAGGAACAGTATTTCCCAATTCAGTAAAACCAAGCACAGCTTCTGGGAAAAGATAACTTTGGGTCGAATGTGGACAACATATCTTTGAGATAAAGAGATGAAAAGATTTAGACTGCTTTTAGACTACAGGTCTTATAACTGACATGAAGAAGGATGGAAAATGTCCAAAGTAGGAAAGCAGCAAGAACAAGAAAGAGAATAGAAAAGTAAAATGAAAGCACTGCTCCAACTTTAGCATAACAAACCCAGAAGGGTCTTTTCTCGCAACAGAACTTAAACAAATCAACCACCAAGGTGGTTATGAAAAGGAAGTCAGCCTTGAAGGAGAGGCTTGCCCTAGTGTGGAATCTGGGCGCACCTTCCCCTTTGGGCTCCTGGACACCCAGCCTACTTTCCAATGGCCTACTGGAAGCCACCTCCTGGATGTCCCTTAGGCACCTCAAAGTCCAGTGTCACAGCACTGCACATGGATCCTTCCCCAAATATACTTTTCCGTCTCTCTGGCCTTCCCTCAATCTTTCCTTCTCTCCCTTCCAGGATTTAGTGAATGCCTACTGTATGTCAGGCATTGTTCTAGGTGTTGAAAATAAAGCTGTAAAGAAGATCCTTGTGTCCTTGCTTGTCTAAGCTTATGTTCCAGAGGCAACGATAGATAATAAATAAGTAAACAATCTATAAAGCTCCATCTCAGGTAATGAGAAGTGTTCTGAAAAGATAAAACAACCAGCAGAGCTACAGGAGAGAGCAGGTTACCAAGGCCTCTTTGAGAAAGGCATTTGAACTGGGACTTGAAAGATTTGAAGGAGCCACTTTGGCCCATCTGGAAAGAGTGCCCCAACTGTTGCAGACATCCAAAGAAGGCAATGTGCTTACTGGTCATTGTGACTGGAACACAGCAAGCCAAGGGGAGAGAGGGACAACCTGATGTTGAAGGGGTGACCGCAGCTTGGCTAAAGACATCCCTGCCCACCCCTCAGGCCGGACTCCAGGAGTTAGCAACACCACACCTCGCTTCTTTCGCTTCTAATGCTATATCAAGAGTTTTCAAGAACACAGTTACTCCCTACCAACCCCACTGTCTGCCCTGGTCCAATTTTTCATCAGAGTCTCCTGGGCTTCATTAAATCTTCCCCCTTCCTCCCAGTCTCATACTTCCTCAGTTTACCAGTCCTTCCTCCCCCTCCTTTATTTCACAATGAGCCCCCAATGGACAATAATTTTTAAAATACTCTCATCACATGAATCAATTTCTCTTCCTTCTTGACTTCCCAATAAAGGCAATGCCCAAACAAGCATTCCCTGGCCCTGTCTTCTTCTCTGCAAGGGTGCCTGAGGGCTCTTGGGCAAGCCAGGTGCCCAATGGACTTCTAATCCACCTAGGTATGAATATGGCTCTCACTTGCCTCCTGCACATGAGTACGTTCCATCTGAGTGGGGTTGTTGGAATGAAAAAAAATCAGGTAAGAAGAATAAAGTACCTGACCCAAGACTCAAGTGTAACAGGTCCTTGACTCTCTTCACCACCAACTCCAGAACCCAGGCTTGTGAGCCTCACTGTAGAAACCACTCAGCTGTGCAGACAGAGGGCTTCTGCCCTCAGTGGTCTCAAGGGCACAGCCTTGCACTCAGCCCATGCTTGCCCAGACTCAACCCCTCTGTGCCACTTCTAATACTCTTTCTGTCTAATTTCTTTATCCATCTGCTACCCCACTTTATCAAGAAAACAGAGGCCCTGCCGGCACAAAAAGATCAGTCTGCTCTCTTTTAGTCCTGTAGTCTTACCCATGTTGCCGTGTCCTTCCTCTGCCTGGAGCCCAGGTTCTACCCCTCCCTCTCTGCCTCACACTACCTCCTGCTTCTGTCACTGCCACTGTCACCTACTTCCCCTTGCCTCTGATTACCTCTATCCATCCCCAGGCTGCAGGTAGCAGCAGAGCTTGCTTTGAAAGCATTTTAAACTGTGGTGGACTCCTGAGCATCATGGTGCTCTTTGGGCTCTACCGTAAAATATGACACAGATCAAGTAATTTTATGAGCAGAAAATACCATTAATTTATCTGAATGAGGCCAGGAGAGATGGCTCAGTGGAATAAGCACTTCCCTGGCAAGTACAAGGGCCTGAGTTCAATCCCTGGTTCTGCAAAAAAAAAAAAAGTCCACAGTATTTATCTGATTGATGAACATCACCAATTCTTAAAGGGATCACAGTTCAATGACTACTTTTTTTTTCCATGCTGAGGACCAAACTGAGAGCCTTGAGTGTTCAAGGCAAGTGCTCTACCACTGAGCCATACCCCCAGCCCTCAAGCACTATTATGTTAAAAATGGAGATTTGATCCTGCTACTGTCCAGGTGAAAGTCTATAAGGGTGTCCACTGTCTACTCGAAGCGTGTCTTGTACACTGGCCCTAACCTTCCTTCCTAGCATCTCCCGTTGTCCCTCACCCAGCTGCCTTGTGCCAGCTACCCCTGACCCCAGCTTTCCCCAAGCCCAGCCAGGTGGTACCACACATAAGTCCCCAAGGAGTAAGACTTGCCACCCCTTGCACCTCTGTGCCTACCTTTCCACAAGTCTGGACTGGATTTCCTCTTTCAAGGCCAGAGAGAAGGCAAATAAATGGAGCTATTATGGAGCAACTAGAGTAGAACAGAACAAGCCAGAAGCAGCCCTGTCTGGTGTATTACCTGCTCCCTGGAATAGGTGAGCACTGGAGTCCCCAGCTGTAGGTGCTGCCTCCGGCCCCAGCCTGTTTCTGTTGCTGCCACCTTCGCCACTGCCTCCACACTGTCCTATTGCTCGCACAACAAACTCACTTTTGTTTCCAGTCAAGCAGCAAGGGAGGGTGTGGAGGAGGGAGTGAAGAGGAAAGAGAGGGAGAGGGAGGGAAGGGGAGAGGAGAGGAGAGAGAGAGGGAGAGAGGGGAGAGGGGAGAGAGGAGGGAGATAGGGAGACAGGAGACAGAGAAGAGGGAGGGAGACAGAGAAGAGGGAGACAGAGAGAGGAGGGAGAGAGAGAGGAGGGAGATTAAGAGGAGAGAGGGCTCTTTGTAGAGAAGATACAGATGGCAAATGTGGAAAAGACTGAGGAAAACTGTACTGAGAACAAATCAAAGTTATTATGTATTAGAGTGAGAATGAGAGAGAAAGAGAGAGATAAGACAGAAGAGATATCTCAGGAGAAAAAAGGGCTCAGTAGCTACGGGGGAGCTCAAGCAGGAAGCTTGTTCTCCACAGTAACATGGGTAGTGGCAGCCAAGGGCCTGTGAGAGGCCTGACCCTCCTCCCCAGAAGCCTTCCCCCCAGGCCTGGAGGCTCTAGGGGAGCCCAGGCTCCAGCTCCACTCCTCAGGCTCCTTTACAAAGGCTAGGTAGGATTGACCTTGAGACTCCCCAAGGCCTCCTTAAGAGCCTTGGCTGGAGGTGAGTGGCCTGGTGGGGCTCTGTTTTCAGCTGCAGTGGGTCTTCAGGTGGTGATATTAGAGGGAAGTGTTTGCTGTGGGGTCTCACATTTCACAGCAAACAATGTTTGGTTACTAGTGTTTCAAAATAGCTGGTCTCTCTCCTCTCCAAACTTAAAACCCAAACTCCTAGCCTGTTTGTCTAACTCTAAGACAAAGTGCGGGAATTTACCCCTCAGTGAGTGTTTTCTGAGGGCCCACGGCACAGAGGGAACTGGTCGCTGTAAGGTGTGTGGTGAACCCCACTGGGAAATTATTTTGCTCCTTTGAGAAACTTCTAATCTCCTGGGTTGGGTTCAGCAAGTGCTTACTGAGTACTTAGAGTGTGCCAAGGTTGATTAGAGGTCACTGAGCAGGCAGCTGCTCCAAGGAGCTGTAAACCCTGAATTCACTAAGTCTTAGAGCTGAGGAGAGGGAGGTTAGTGAAGGTCGAGTCCAAACCCTGCATTTCACAAATAAGAAAAATTCATATCTAGTTTGGTCATGGACTATCCCCAGGCCCCAGCTCAGATGAGTAGAGCTCGGGGACAGCCAGCTTCTCCTGCCCTCCTCCACTCTATCCTGCCCTGTTTGCTGTCTCTAACAGCCACCTTTCTTACCTGGGGCTTGAAGACACCCCCTTTAAAGCTGAGAAAACAGGAACAAAACTATGTGTAGGATGCTGAGCTCTAAACAAAACTACCATCACATAGACCCCTGCAGTGGAGTGGCTCAGTTACTGTCATGTGGTCTGTAAGAGGCTGGGCCCCTTGCGAATCCTAGGCACTGTGGCTGCCACTGCATAGTGGCTGAGGGTGGCCCTAGCTCTCCTAGTCCTGTTGACCAGCTAGTGCAGTTCACACCAAGTCAGGGGTTTGGGTGACTTCAACACCCAAAAAAGACACCAAGGGTGCCAGAGGGACTCTTCCTATGAAAACTTTTTTAAGAATCCAGACCTAGGTTCAACTCCAAATGCCGAGTAGATTCTTGGCGAGGCATCAAGCTCTTTGAGACTCAATTTTCCCCTCTAGTAAGTGGGAATAATCATATCTACCTCCCTGGACTGTGGTGGGAATTAGATGAGATGATATGCATAAAGTATCTGGCTCAGTGGTTAGCATTCATCAGTCACCCAATAAGTGATATTGCCATTATTATTGTTGACAGTAGCGAAGGCTACTTGGTTTTCATTGGGCATGTTAATATCAGCAACTAAATTTACACATAACAAATATAATCAAAATGACTATACTTCCAAAATGGATATACAGATTTAATGCAATCCCAATCAAAATACCAATATGGCATTTTTCATAAATCTAAAGAAAAAATTCTAAAATTCATATGAAACAAGAAGAGACAAAAATAGCAAAAGCAATCCTGGATAACAAAAGAAAGGGAGGTGACATCATAGTCCCAGACTTGACATTATACTATAAATCTATGGTGATTGAAACAATATGGTGAGGAAAAAAA